GACTGGAATCGAACCTGGGACCCTTCAGTCCGCAGGCCGACGCTCCATCCACTGAGCCAAACTGGTCAGGGCGAGCCTGTTCCTATTTTGTTTATTTTGTTCATTAGATTCCACAAATGAGTGAGATAATATGGACCATAAATTCTTACCTGGGCAGGTCTTGGTGGGTAGTCACACCCCGGCATATAACTTCTTTGGTAAAATGTTTACATGTGCTCTAAGCAAGTCCTGTTCATTTTTTTGTGTGTGTGCGCATCTGGGTTAACTCACCTTTGAAATGCCTCTTTTTCAAGAGAGCATGTAATCTTATTAACCATCCACTTTCTGCCTTTCTTTCTCCCACTTTATGTCATCTTCCTCCTTAATTCCAAATGCATAAGTAAAAGAAACTGCAAAACTTTCATTCTTCGGAGCATTTGCTGCCTGGTTACTGTCATCATTTTGAGTCAAACACAGGCAATGGGGATACAGTGAAAATGAGGTTGACAAGGTTCTGCATTCATGGAACTACTGGTTTATTGGAGGTGATAGGATAAGAACCCCACACAAAGCAAGTAAATAAGTGATGGAGGGAAGAGGAGGCTCTGTTAAATGGGTAATAAAGAAAGGTTGCATTTCAACTGAGAGTTGAATGTTGGAGGTATTTCAGATAGAGGGAAATGTCCTTTGTCCTCTTATCATGCCCTCTTTGTCTCCATCCCACACCTCACATCTCTGCAGAGGCTCACAGGACATCTGCATAGCCAAGGCTCTCCGCCTTATGTGATCAATCTCGACCCAGCTGTGCATGAAGTTCCCTTTCCTGCCAATATTGGTGAGTAAACTACCGTTTTGTATAACGTTTCTTGGAATGGAAACCCTCCAGCCTGCCAGTTTTCAATGCTTTCATTTTTTTCTAAACTACCTACTTTCATTTCCCATGGATTTGCTAGAATTCTTGAACAGGCTTCTGCCTTATTCACATTTTCTCTTTGTTTACGCCTTTCCCTTTGTTTCCTTTCTACTCAGTGTTATTTCTCCTTTCTGACCCTGAGGTATCAGGCTATTGTTGTTTGGGAAAATGAAGTGGCTTCTCACTTCTAGGCCTTAAACCCTTCAGCAGGCTCTGATATACGCACCTCTTTATTTAGTTTACTAGGGGCTCAGTGCACGAATTCGTGCACCTTGAAAGAAACTGTGGACCACAAGGCTGTGGTGGGCACAGAGGCAGGACTTGGCCCATTCTTCATGCCCCCACCCAGCCCCTCCTGCCTTGGCCCCTGGTCCTCTGTCTGCCGGCAGCTCCGCTCCCATGCGCTGACATTGCCGGCCCCACTCACACCTGCTGACGACTCAGAGCAATTGGGGCCGGTGCCAGGAGCAGGTGTGAGCAGGGGTGAGCAGGGCCGGTATTGTCAGTGAGTTCGAGCTGTGGCTGCTGCCCTGATTGCCCCTCAGGAGCAGGGGGAGGTGGAGAAGCCCTCAGGGGTGATTGGGGCTGGCAGCCGCCGCTCGCACCTGCTGACAGTGCCGAGTGATCCGGGCTGGTGCTGGCAGCGGGTGCAAGCAGGGCCGACACCAGCAGCAGGTGGGAGCGTGGCGGGACCGCAGTGCGTAGGAGCAAAGAATTTTCAGTAACCACCAGAGGCTCACCCAATGACAGTGACTGGTGCCCCGCCTTGGTCTGGCGCCCCCGCTCACCTCCCCCATCTCGCCGTGGCCCTTTATGATCCGTGCGCGCCCCCTGGTGGTCAGTGCACGTCATAGTGACCGGTTGTTTGGTTGTCCTGCCCTTTGGTCTATTTGCATATTAGGGTTTTATATATATAGATTTTTCTCAAAGTTTAGTTAGAGTATAATGGTTCTTGTGTGGTAGTTCACTTAATGATTTGTAGGAACCTTGCTTCCACTCCCAAAGTTACATGGAAAAATGTGCATAGGTATGCATATGTGCATTGTTTTGGGGAGAGGTTCCCAGTTATCCTAATAGGAATCTGTGACTATAAAAAGATGAGAATGGATGTGATCCAATGTCATGTTTCTTGATAAGATCTAGGCTTCCTGATCTAGACTTTCACAGTGGTAATCTTTTTGTCTCTTCTTAATCCTGTTAAGATGCTTATAACCTAAACAAAGGAAGGCCTTATATTAAGAAGCAGAGATTGTGCTCTGGCCAGTGTGGCTCAGTTAGGTGAGCATTGTCCTCTGCACCAAAGGTTTGCTGGAGATATATATATATATATATGTATATATATATACACACACACACACACATATACACACACATATATATATATATATATATATATATATATATATATATATATATATATATATATATATATATATATATATATATATATATATATATGGCAAAGGATTTGGGGAAAAAAATCTCCCATCATCTCACTTAAAGGTAGGTTTATAGACTGGTAGATAGGTTTAGTTAGATATTACTGGATAAATTAATTCCTTTTTAAAAATCATGTCTGCATTACCTTCGTTATCAGTAGCAGTTAAAAAGAAATAAACATTTTTTTCTTGATTTAGCGCCCTTTTTCTATCATATGGTTACTGACAAGGTGTTTAAGTGCATAAAACTTTTCTCCCTATCTCAGAACATCTCAACCGTAGCTTGAGAAGTTGTAACCTAACGTTCTTCATGGGGGACTTGACAGTTATCCTTTGTAAGGACAGGAACCATTGTGAAGCTGGTAGAAGAGAATGCTGACAAGAGAATACTAAAAGCTACTTTTCATTTCTTGCTGATAGAGAAAGTACAGGACACCTTCTGCCCTTCTATTCTTTTCCTCACAATTTTGCTTCTTTTTCATCACAGTTCAATGATCTTGGCTTAAAAATTACAAAACAAATTTGAAAAGTAACTCATGCTTAGAGGGAAACTTATTTTTTCCCCTCAGAGGATCAGAGATGACTTGAGAGACCTCTTGGCTTAGGATATTATTGGTGGAGAGCCTCAAGCTATATTGTTTCTTTTTTTTTTAAAATATATTTTATTGATTTTTTACAGAGAGGAAGGGAGAGAGATAGAGAGTTAGAAACATTGATGAGAGAGAAACATCAATCAGCCGCCTCCTGCACATCTCCTACTGGGGATTGTGCCTGCAACCCAGGTACATGCCCTTGACCAGAATCAAACCTGGGACCTTTCAGTCCGCAGGCCGACGCTCTATCCACTGAGCCAAACCGGTTTCGGCTATATTGTTTCTTATGTGTTAAATTCTAATTAATTCTTTACCCTCTTTCCCCAGATATTCGTGACACTGTGAAGTATAAAGAAGTCATGAAACAGTATCCTTTTTTACGTCTTCTTTGGTGTTGACTCTCTCTGTATTTTGCAGCTTTGAAGGAATGTTTTTGGGTTTCCTTGTGAAATATACTAGCAAAATCATTTTGATTACTTTAAAGTCATTTTATTAGGAAAATGAAAGATGAAGCTGGGAAAAAGTATTGTAGGTGATTAGAAATATTCTTTGGGCTTGCGATTTATTTTTTTTACCAAATTCCCAGACGGCAGGCTGTTGTAATTAGAGGGCGTAGATAATGAGAGGCTAACTGGTAGCTTGCCTAGGACCCAGAAAGTAGCATTGCCTTGGAAGCTACATCCATTGGTCATCACCTCTTCAAACTGGGAAACCCAGAAATGAGTAGGATCACCTCTTGGTACATTGCTGTGTGAAATGTGTACTTTCCCTCTAGGTAAGTCTAGTTAGGAAAACTAATTATAATCAGCAAGTTGCTTGATTAGTGAGGATAGAGCAAGGAGTGTTATATAGATGATCTTAATAGCTAATGCTAGCAGGCTGTCACTGCCTGATGCATCTGTCTATTATGTTTTGGTCCCTTTAGTTTGTTCATTTTGCCTGGCCCTCCTTAAAACAACAAATAAATGAAGAAGGCCTTGATGAATGTTTTCCTATGAAGTTACAGCTGTGTGGTACATACTAAGTCAAGGATTAGCTTGCCAATATTCATTAATGGACCACTAATATTATAATGTTTGTGTGAGTGATGTCCTGGGTATGAACTTTATCATCTGATTTCATCTGTAAACAATTTAAATCCTCAACTTAGTGTCTAGATATGGACTTGGACCCAACGGTGGCATAGTGACCTCACTCAATCTCTTTGCTACAAGATTTGATCAGGTATGTCTGTCTGTTTTCACTCATATAGACATGACTGTATAAACACTAGTGGCTCTTAAATACCTTAGTTTGATAATGTTGGGAATGAAGAGCAATTAACCTGGGATATAAATATCCTCCTATATAATAAAAGGCTAACATGCAAATTGTCCCCTCGACTGGGAGTTGGACAGGGTGGGGCTGGGGCCGGCCAACCGCCTTCAGCCCCTCCACCCCCACCCCGATCGGGGGCAGGGCTGGCCAGCCAACCTCCCGCATCTCCTTCCCCTGGCAGTCCCCTTCCTCTGGCCGGCCCAGCCTGATCACCCAAATGGGGCAGGCTGACCGGACCCCACTCATGCATGAATTCGTGCACCGGGTCTCCAGTAGAAAATAAATTGGCATTTTGGTAGACAGAGAAATAGGCTACTAGTATGAGAGGATGATCAGTTTTATGAACACTTCATATTTAATATTTGGGACAGCCAGTAAAACAAATACAGGAGACCGTGTTTGTTTCTTGATCTGTTATTGGCATATAGTGTTACCCTGAGGATGGAATAAAGGGATGGGGGGAGAGATGGGCTAGCAGGCATGGAACAGAAAAATAATGGGGCTTTTTTAACTTGTGACAAATAGTTATCAGCTTCTCAGACCCTTGCCCTGTGCTCCAGGGTGCTGCAGTGCTGCTGATGTGATTTTGTTTCTGTGGTTCAGTGAGTTTATTAGTTGGTGTCCTAAGATTGAGAACACAGAGATTCAGTAGTTGATGGTACCTATAAAGCAGGCCACTTGGAGAGGGCCCTGTGATTTTATGCTGAAATCGGCTCCTGTTGTAATTGGCATCTTTTTCTTTTAGGTGATGAAATTTATTGAAAAGGCCCAGAACATGTCTAAGTAAGTGGTTTCAGTTTAGCGCCTGTCTATTACTCTGTAGTTAACATGTTTCTAGGCTTTTTTGAAAGATTTTGGGTTAGCATAAAGTTTTGAAAAAATTTAGATTAAGATGAAGCTATTAGAAGTGAAAAAAGATAGTCAAGAAAGTCATTAAGGGAGAACCAAGATGGCGGCATAGGTAAACACCGGAGACTGCTGCCGCAAACAACCACTTCAAAAATACAACTAAAAGACGGAACGGACATCACCCAGAACCACAGGAAGGCTGGCTGAGGAGAGACTCTTCAACTAGAAGGAAAAATAACAGCACACCGAGGCTCAGAGGAGGCGCAGTGTGGAAAAAACTCAGGTGCGGAGGTGCGCGCGCAAAGCGGGCTGGTGGCTGAGAGCGCGGTTGTCGTTTTCGGTCAGGGGGGAGTCTCAGACTCTGAGCTCCAGATACGGGCGAATCGCTGGGGACTCGGACCCAAACGGGAGAAGCGGGAGTGTCTGGCATCAGTTGGAAGGCAGCTTTCCCTCCGAGGTTTGCAGCGGTTCCGGGGGTTCTGAGAAGCAGAGCCTCTGGGAACAGGACTGAGGGCACCATAACGGCTCCCTCCGCCCGCCCTGTTGAGCCCGCCCCGCCCAAGCCCTGCGCAGAGCCATTTGCCGGATCGCCTCAGGCAAAGGCTAGATTAGCACCTCCCCAGAGGACAGAAGTTTTCCGCGGCAGACACAGCTGATTCACACAGCCAGTCGGCCTGGTGGTCAAATCCCTCTAGTATTAACTACAACAATCAAGGCTCAACTAGAACAAGACTGCGCACAAAGACCACTAGAGGGTGCACCAAGAAAGCATAAAAAATGCGGAGACAAAAAAACATGACAGAAATGGAGGATATAGAGCTAAAAATCGCAATTTTGAGGGCTTGCAAAAATGTGCTAGAAGCTGTCAATAAACTTGAGGAGAGAGTCACGAAAACTAATGAGACCCTCGATGCTATGATAAAGAACCAACTAGAAATTAAGCATACACGGACTGAAATAAAGAATATTATACAGACACCCAATAGCAGACCAGAGGAGCGCAAGAATCAAGCCAAAGATTTGAAATGCGAAGAAGCAAAAAACACCCAACCGGAAAAGCAAAATGAAAAAAGAATCCGAAAATACGAAGATAGTGTAAGGAGCCTCTGGGACAGCTTCAAGCGTACAAACATCAGAATAATTGGGGTGCCAGAAGATGAGAGACAGCAAGATATTGAAAACCTATTTGAAGAAATAATGGCAGAAAACTTCCCCCACCTGGTGAAAGAAATGGACTTACAGGTCCAAGAAGCGCAGAGAACCCCAAACAAAAGGAATCCAAAGAGGACCACACCAAGACACATCATAATTAAAATGCCAAGAGCAAAAGACAAAGAGAGAATCTTAAAAGCAGCAAGAGAAAGAGACTCAATTACCTACAAGGGAATACCCATACGACTGTCAGCTGATTTCTCAACAGAAACTTGGCAGGCCAGAAGGGAATGGCAAGAAATATTCAAAGTGATGAATACCAAGAACCTACAACCAAGATTACTTTATCCAGCAAAGCTATCATTCAGAATTGAAGGTCAGATAAAGAGCTTCACAGATAAGGAAAAGCTAAAGGAGTTCATCACCACTAAACCAGTATTATACGAAATGCTGAAAGGTATCCTTTAAGAAGAGGAAGAAGAAAAAGGTAAAGATACAAATTGTGAACAACAAACATGCATCTATCAACAAGTGAATCTAAGAACCAAGTGAATAGAGGACACTGGGTGGGGAGTGAGGGCGGAGGGTGGGGCGGGAACTGGGAGGAGGGGAGTTATGGGGGAAAAAAAAAAAAAGAAATGTAATCTGAACAATAAAGATTTTATAAAAAAAAAAAAAAGAAAATCATTAAGATGCTGTATAGTGTAGAGCTAAATTTAATAGTATTCTATCCCCAGCCTCTTTGGTATATGCCCATGGCTTCTTAGGGGATATTTTGAAACTTTGTCTCTGTTTTCTCTTGGGAAACCATATTTGTTGGCATTAAAATCTCTGAAACATCTTTCTAACTCTTACTTAAACAAATATAATTTACATAAATCAGAGAGAATAATTGTTTTTTAATTTTAAAAGTATCAAAATATAAAATAAAATATTTGTTCATATTATAACGCACTGTTAATAGATTAACTGTTAATAGGTTTTTAATAGGTTTGCTTAAAAAAAAAAGAAAGATAATGCATTATTTTATTTTTTTAAAAATATATTTTATTGATTTTTTACAGAGAAGAAGGGAGAGAGAGAGTTAGAAACATCGATGAGAGAGAAACATCGATCAGCTGCCTCCTGCACATCTCCTACGGTGGATGTGCCCGCAACCCAGGTACATGCCCTTGACCGGAATCGAACCTGGGACCTTTCAGTCTGCAGGCCGACGCTCCATCCACTGAGCCAAACCGGTTTCGGCTAATGCATTATTTTTATAAAAAAAAATATATGACCCTTACAAAGAATTCAACTTGGTTGGTATGGTTCAGAGGTCATGCACCAGGAGATCACGGTTCGATTCCCCATCAGGGCACATGCCCAGGTTGTGGGCTTGATCCTCAGTAGGGAGCATGCAGGAGGCAGCTGATCCATGATTCTCTCTCACCATTGATGTTTGCCCAGGTTGTGGGCTTGATCCTCAGTAGGGAGCATGCAGGAGGCAGCTGATCCATGATTCTCTCTCATCATTGATGTTTCTGTCTCTCTCTCCTTCCCTCTTCCTTTCTCTCTGAAATCAGTAAAAATATATTAAAAAAAAAAACACAATTCAAACCATACATAATTTAAAAGGCGCAGTGATCACCCACTAGACCAGTGATCGCGAACCTATGACACGCATGTCAGAGGTGACACGCGAACTCATTTTTTTGGTTGATTTTTCTTTGTTAAATGGCATTTAAATATATAAAATAAATATCAAAAATATAAATCTTTGGTTTACTATGGTTGCAAATATCAAAAAATTTCTATATGTGACACAGCACCAAAGTTAAGTTAGGGTTTTTCAAAATGCTGACACGCCGAGCTCAAAAGGTTCGCCATCACTGCACTAGACCCACTAGAAATAACTATCATTATTATTCCTATCAGTGACTATCATTTCATATGTTTCTATGCATATATACATAAGTAGAAGAATGGAGGGATAAGGTGTTTTGCAAAAATAGGATCATAAAAGAGGTAGTTTTAAAAAATATTTTTCTTGAGCCTCAGCTGGTTTGGCTCAGTGAATAGAGTGTCGGCCTGTGGACTGAAGGATCCTGGGTTCAGTTCCGGTCAAGGGCACATGCCCGGGTTGCGTGCTCGATCCCCTGTAGGGGGCATGCAGGAGACAGCTGATCAATGATTCTCTCTCATCATTGATGTTTCTCTCTCCCTCTCCCTTCCTCTCTGAAATCAATAAAAATATATAAAAACAATCTTTCTTGAGATATAAACTCATATACCATAAAGTTCACTCCTTTAATTTATACAATTTAGTGGTGTTTAGTATACTCATAAAATTGTGTATTGATTCCTACTATCTAATTTCAGAACGTTTTTGTTATCCCAAAAGAAATGTCATACACATTAGCAATCTTTCTTTTTCCCCAGCTCCTATTGGCTGCACCATTTTACATTCCCACCAGCAGTGCATGAGGGTTCCAGTTTCTCCACGTCCTTGTCAATATTTGTTATATCTTTGTTTTTTATTATAACTGTCTTAGTGGGTGTGTGGGTGTGAGGTGGTATTGCATTGTGGTTTTGATTTGTATTCCCTCAAGGATTAATGATATTGAGCATCATTTTATCTACTTATTGGTCATTGGTATATATTTGTAGAAGTGTCTATTTAAATTCTTTGCTCATTTTTAAAACAGCTTTATTGAGACATAAGTCACATTCCATGCAATTCTCCCATTTAAAGTGTACAATTCACTGACTTTTAGTATAGTCACAGAATTGTGCAACTATCAGCAATTTTAGATCATTTTCATTACCTCAACAAGTAACCCTGTATTCTTTAGCTATCACTCGCCTGTCCCACCCCCTCCCCTAAGCAACTGGATAGTTTCTCAAGAGATTTATATTCTGGTTTTTCTTACCTCATTTTTAATGCAATGTGTAACTATAACTATCACACAGTCCCCTGTGATCATTTGCAGTAATTTATGCACTGCTGCTTTTTTTTTTTTAAATATATTCTATTGATTTTTTACAGAGAGGAAGGGAGAGGGATAGAGAGTTAGAAACATCGATGAGAGAGAAACATTGATCAGCTGCCTCCCGCACGCCCCCCACTGGGGATGTGCCCGCAACCAAGGTACATGCCCTTGACCAGAATCGAACCTGGGACCCCCCAGTCTGCAGGCTGACGCTCTATCCACTGAGCCAAACCGGTTCGGGCTGCACTGCTGCTCTTATCCATTAGCATGAATATTGGACATTGAACAAAACCTGGGGGAATGTGGTACGCATTTCAAAGACAACGGGAGGAAGGTAGACTTGGCAATGTGAAGAGGGTATTCCAGTCTTGGATAACCAGTAGTTTGGTGTTTTGTGTAATGGAATATTTTCAGCATTGTACAAGTGTAATACTTCTTTAATGGTCTTTCTTGACACAGATATGTCTTGATTGACACACCTGGGCAGATTGAAGTGTTCACCTGGTCAGCTTCTGGGACAATCATCACAGAGGCCCTGGTGAGTATTGTAGGTATTACTGAGAGCTAGACTCTTTTTATTGCCCGGGACCTTATGTAGAAGGGAGTAATAGAAGCTCTGTAAAATGGTTTTCTCTTGCTAAAGAAGGTAGGAAAAACCTGGGGACAGATCATGAGCCCTCTGGCTAAGGCTTTGATTATTTTGTGGCTTTAGGCATCCTCATTTCCAACGATTGTCATTTATGTAATGGACACATCAAGAAGTACCAACCCAGTGACCTTCATGTCCAACATGCTGTATGCCTGCAGGTAATTGGTTATTGCTGGGCATATTACATCAGGGTATGAGGCCTCCTCTTCTTTGAGTCCTGAGTGCTTATCCCTAGATTTGTGCTATTCAGGTTTGCCACTCAGTTTAGTGGTTGTGAGTTGGGGAGGGGTCAGAAGAGAAAAGAGGCACATGTGCTCTTGGCATTCTCTGTCAGAACTTCTCATCTTCCTCCTTGCTTGCTACAGAAAGAGGTAGTGTGTGAATATGAATCTTCTGGTAGTTGCTCCCAGCTCAATGAAATCCAAGTCTAAATAAAACAGAGCTCCTTTTCTGTATTATGATAACATGGGAAATTATAACATGGGGAGAGATTATGAGTAAAAAGGTTTATCCATAATTTTAAAATACACAGGTTTGCCCCAACTGTGGTATGATTAGGAGAGGAAAGACATGCCTCATTAGGTTATGTCAGTACATTAGATCTAGGAGCAAGGCATGCCGTTATTGAAGCTGAGAGAATTTGATTTTTGGGGTTACAGAAAAGCTATCACCAACATTTGCCCCTTCGAGTATGATTAGGGATGTCTCTTATTTGATGCAAGAAATCCTAGTCCAAATAGAAATCTGATGACTGACAGCATTTGCTCATTTAAAAAAAAAAATATTTCAGAGAGGAAGGGAGAGGGAAAGAGAGATAGAAACATCAATGATAAGAGAGAAACATTGATTGGCTGCCTCCTGCACGTCCCCTTCTGGGGATCAAGCCCACAACCCAGGCATGTGCCCTTGTCCGGAATTGAACCTGGGACCCTTCAGTCCACAGGCTGATGCTCTATCCACTGAGCCAAACTAGCTAGGGCCATTTGCTCATTTTTATATTAGTTGTTTAAAAGACAATTATTTGGTAAAAACAAGCAACCAAACACACACACACACACACACACACACACACACACACACACAGAAAATAGAATCAGTAGCAAAGCATTCTTAAAGAAAGAGAGTTATGTGTGTGTGTTGTTTGTGTGATGGTGGGGGTGGTTTTTCTCTTGGGAGAGGAGGACATGTGCCTTGTAAGAATGGATACCTTATACTTAGAGTCTGAACTCAGTCCCCTTTACTCAATTCCAACTGACTGACATGGTAAACAAGAGCTGAAGTGTTTTTGCTAATAATGTTTTGATGTTTGATTTTTCAGCATCTTGTACAAAACCAAGCTTCCTTTCATTGTGGTCATGAATAAAGTAAGTGGATCCTTCTGTTGTGATTCAGTACTGTATTTGTTTTTCATCAGAACTTTGTGTTATTGGAAGATTTGGAATAGGTGGGAAATGTTATTTAGAGGCAGGAGAGTAGATTCAAGCTTAACTGAAACAGTCATGGGCACTTCTAGGGAGAAGATTCAGTCAGATTGAGTATTTATCACTGACTTTCATCCCAAGTTATTTCAGCCTAGATAGAGCAGCCCCTCACTTGTAGGGTGTGGATTATTCCTCAGAATCGAGACAATGGGCGGAGATGGGATTGCTAGTCTATTGGAAGTGGCAACTAAAACAAAAAGACAAAACTTCCCTGTTGGTTGATAGCTAGGATACAGCAGACTAGTTGACTTTAGAGCCTGGAATGGGCTGGCATCCACTGTGGTCATGGTGACTTGGCAGTGGATAGTGAAGAGAACATATAACTTCATTTAATTAACTCTATACAGCAGTCTTGGTTCTTTATGGCTTGTTATAGTGGAAGAGGAACTGGGGAAAGCAGAGAAAGAAAATATATGAATGATTGCTTTTATTTTTATTGAATTTATTGGGTGACATTGGTTAATAACACTATATACGTTTCAGATGTACAATTCTATAATACATCATCTGTACACTATTGTGTGTTCATCACCCCAAGTCAAGTCTCCTTCCATCACTATTTGTCCCCCATACCCTCTTCTACCTCCCCTCAACCCTGAATAATTGCTTGTTATTATCACTGCTTAATTAAAAAAAGGGGGGAGGGGCATTATTTGGTCTCTAAACTCATCTCTGGTTTCTCATAGTTGGCTTCTCTCTGTTGCAGACTGACATCATTGATCACAGCTTTGCAGTGGAATGGATGCAAGATTTTGAGGCTTTCCAAGATGCCTTGAATCAAGAGACTACATATGTCAGTAACCTGACTCGTTCAATGAGCTTGGTGTTAGATGAATTTTACAGCTCACTCAGGGTAAACTTTCTCTTCTGCTCATACCGACAGTTTCCCCAGATAACCTCTTAACCCAATAGGGCTGGCTTTGAACCATCTTAGGAAGGAAGTTCATTACTTTTTGAAAAGTAAATTTTAAAGCATTAACTTACTAAATACTGGAGGTTTATAGATGAATAGATAGAGACCCTACCCTCAGAGAGTTTATGGTCTAGTTAGAAGAGAAGGCTACAGACAGAATTAAAACAGAATTAAGAAAGATTGGAATTTGGCCCTGATGGTAGTGAGAAGGAAGATCACTTGACATGAGAAATGTTGGAGGATATAGCTTGAGAGGTATGCTTTGAAGGAAGGGTAAGATTTGTATAAGCAAAAGTGGGTGTGGGTGGCAGAGCTTATGTTAATTGCCCAAGTAAAGGCACTGAGATACTAATTTTCATAGAGAACAGACAGTGGTTTGATTTGATAGAGAATAGATAAAAAGCCCTGCTACTTGTTTGTCCCTAATTATCTTTCTTGTTCAATTCTCTATTTTCCTTAGACTTATTTCCATGACTTTTTAGTAGACATGCTGCTTTCTGGTTTAGCTTTTATTCTTTGCCAGAGACTTCTTTAAGTATCTGAACTTTTTTGTGAAGATTTTTATGAAATTTGAACAAAATAATGTACACCATTAAAAAATATACATCTGTTTGCTCAGTGGCATTAATGTTGCTTTTGCCAGGTGGTAGGTGTATCTGCTGTTCTGGGTACAGGCTTAGATGAACTCTTCGTGCAAGTCACCAGTGCTGCGGAAGAATATGAAAGGTGAGAACAAAGGAAAATTCTATTGATGACATTCTTAATGACCCACAATGCTGATATGATAGCAATTTTGCCAGGCAAAGCTTTTTGGTTTTCATAGTATATATATATTACATTTGCCATGCGTATGTGTACTGACCACACTTGGGGTAACTAATCCCATTAACTGTTTTTAAAAAATAGGAGTATAAAATCTTCACTGTATTTAATGAGTAAGAGCAGGCAGGAGTCACCAGACTTTTTGTGAAAAGCCAGGTAATAATCATTTTAGACTTTGTGGACTTTGTGATCTCTCTTGCAACTGTTCAACTCTGTCGTTGTAGCAAAAAAGAATCCATAGACAGTTTATAAATGAATGAACGAGACTGTGTTCCAGTAAAACATTATTATAAAAATAGGCAGCAGACTTGATTTGGCCGTTTTCCACATTGGATGACCCCATTAGCTTTAATGCTTTGGAGTCAAACAGTTAAGAGTTGGATTTCTGTTTCCTCCACATAATGAATAACTTCTGTAAGTTACCTCAGTTGTAGTTCAGGGATAATAGCATGGATTGCTAAGGTCGTTGTGAGAATTATTTGAGAAAACATCTGGAGCACCCAGTGCAATTGCTGACACATAGTAAGCACATTTCATAATAAATGATTGTTATCACTTGTCATAATTTTTTTTTTTTTTTAAATATATTTTATTGATTTTTTACAGAGAGGAAGGGAGAGAGATAGTTAGAAACATCGATGAGAGAGAAACATCGACCAGCTGCCTCCTGCACATCCTCTACCGGGGATGTGCCCGCAACCCAGGTACATGCCCTTGACCGGAATCGAACCCGGGACCCTTGAGTCCGCAGGCCGATGCTCTATCCACTGAGCCAAACCGGTTTTGGCATCACTTGTCATAATTAATATTGGAATTCCATTTACCTAAAGGAAAGTGGAGTCAGAGCATGTAGATACTTTCCTTAGGTCTGTAGCCTGTTAGTTGCTGCATCCCCACATGCTCCTGTGGCCCCATAAATTAGCAAGATCCTAGCAAACACATTGTGGTTTTCAGACACATTATTTTGAGTTTGATTCATTAGATAAGGGTTTCGTGTGTGTGTGTGTGTGTGTGTGTGTGTGTGTGTGTGTATGTGAGAGATCGTGTGTGATCAAAGCCTTAGGAAAAGACTGTTTTGTGTCCTTTCATAGTTGCCCTGTTAAAACCACGTAATTAAAAGTTAATATATATTGGGGTTCCTGAACCCAACAGTCCTCGCTTCTTTTACTTATCTCAAATGTTTATCCATATGAATGCTAATAAGCTCATTAGTCAATGTCTCTAGAGTTAATCTTTCCAGCTCAGCAGTCAGACATTTTTCTTTTTTCTAGTTTCCCAGGTGAGGACAGGTACCTTGGCT